GTCAGTTTATTTTAAAACTAAATTTTTGCGTTACTAAAAATAGCGAAATGAGCTTAAAATTTTCAAGTTCACGATTTGCCAGCACAAAAACGATACAAAAACTCGCTATTTTTAAATCTACTATTTTGTATGTTTGGACAGATGGTTTGTGTTTATTTTCGGACCAAATAAGGGGATGCATCATTTAGTGAAAATTTCCGGGAAAGCGATAAACGATTTTACTTGGAAAATTGAAAGGCGACAAAAAGAAAGACCAAAATAGTTGACTACTTTGTTTCTTTATTGTTTTGTTTGAAATAGTATATGAGTATTTCTGAAAGTTATTGCATAGTCTAATGTTAGGATCGGTAACCCATATTCCTATTCCTTTATGTACAGAATCGAAGAAAATTCGTAGCTTAACATCTGATTTCTTTAAAACAACGCCTAAAAAATTTTTACCTCTATATTAACATAGTCTAATTTTGTTCTGTTTTTACTAATGTTTTTCATACTAATATTCGTTTTTGTTTAACTGATTTATTTTACGTTGTTTTTATTGCATTTTTTAATTATTTAGTCGACTAACATTTACATTTTTTCTCATTTTTGAATAACCAAAACTTGTTGATACAACAGGAGTCATAATTATTTTGTTGTTATTTTCAGAAAGTGTGACTGTTGAAAAATCGTCGAGTGAGACACCGACTACTACTACCACAACCAAAGGTAAGATTTTACATGTATATATTCGTATTTAGAGATACAGGGTGTTTGAAAAAGGTATCTCATAAATTAAATCACGCATTCCGGGAACAAAAATAAATTGATTGAATCTAACTTACCTTAGTACAAAAGTGAACACAAAAAGTTACAGCCCTTTGAAATTACAAAATATATTTTTTTTTTTTTCATTATTTGCACTACTTGAGATTTTGTAATAAAAATGGACACGTTACTTTCTTGTTCTAAAAGCATTTTTCATAAAAAAAGACACAACAAAATCTAAGCGCACAGAAAAATTTTTAGGGATGTGCAGCCCTAAAATCCCCCAAACTTTTGAGTACGTTAAAATTAAATAAATTTTGTGGCATCTTTAGAACACATTATTTTTAAGACTTTTTGCCTCTTATCACTTTTTTCAAAAAAACAGTTTTTATTGAGTTACGCTATTTTCATTAACCTTTAAAAAATTACGGGCAACTATATACATGCAACTACCTATATAAATATAAATAAATTAACAAGTACAAAAATGTCTATAACCTCAACGAATATGATATTACATTAAATGTTCAAAATGATCCCCATTTTCTTAATACACATTCGGTATCGTTTTAATAAGGAAAACCGAATGCGCTGAAAAATCATATTTTTCTGTCGAAATTGATTTGCTGCTTCAATTATTCTAACCCTCAATTGTTGTTCGTCCTCTATTGTTACAGAATACACTTTCTCTTTCATAAACCCCCAAAAGCAAAAGTCCATGGGGTTAAGACCTGGACTTCTGGGTGGCCAAGAAATAGGTGCGTCACGATCACTTCCAATCCACCAACCAGGATACAGGACTCATTACTGTAATGAGTGGAGCGCCATCTTGTAGAAACCACATATTTTGCCTTATTGCAATATTCACTTGTTCCAAATACTCTTGTAAATCGTTTGCCAAGAACTGTAAATATTTATTACCATGGACGTATAAACATAGATGGACTCAGTTATTTACATAAAATTGTGAAGTCAAAATTATTTGAATAGGTCACATTCTGAGCACCTTCAACTGTTGTCACGTTTCGTTTTAAAATTTCTTATTCGCGAGTCGCTGAAAATATTACTCCGTATTTTATACTCTACAGGTGATATCAAACCAAAATAATAATTTATTGGTTATATTAATATATTTAATTGTAATCAAAATATCAAGTGTGCCATAGTGTGCATTATCATTTAATAATAGCGTAATAATAGATATCAATCAATTATTTTATATGTAGAAGCACTGAAAACTATTTATAAATGGCAACGGTTGTTTACATTTCTCTGTCTTATGGATCTACGTCAAACTTCAAATGCTGTTCCATGTTTGTTTACTTTTTAGAGTAAATGAGGAAAAAGTTATTTTTCGATATTTTGGCTGTATTTTGAGTGATATTTGTGAAAAGTGAAATAAAATAAACGAAATATTTACGTCCCGATCTCTCATTTCATTTGTAAGTACATACAATTTACATTATTTAAGATGAGGAAATGAGGAAGCGTGTTTGTTTACATTTTAATAGGCGTACCATTGGGTTTATTCATGTTCATTAATGTATTGAATAAGATATGAGTTCATTAAAATTATAGACATTTATAAATTGTAAATAGACATCATCTGATTAAAAAAGATCTGTTTAGTACCTTTTTAATTTAATATTTCTCATGGATACAAATAAATTAGTGAAATGAATAAAACTCATTTATTTTTCTATGTAGGTTTCCAAATAATATTGACGATCAAACTATTTGGGTAGCAAATTAAGGAGAAAACATAAAGATTTTTTATTGTAGCATTATTTTGATACTATTAATAAATTAACTTGAATTCAACTATATTTAATTGTATTAATTTTAAAGCAAATAAAATTGTATTTTAATTTTTCTATAAAGACGTGATTTGTTAATAGTTAAACTCTCGTTTTTTTTTTTAAATTCTTTGAACGTGTTTTTATACATTATTACTACTTCCAATTTTTAAAATCTGAATAATAACCTACGAGTAAAAATTCAAGCACGCTTATGCTCATCGCGGAAGCATCACATTCTATCGAAGCTTCAAAACATTGCTGTGTCCATCTACGTTTATACTCCATGTTTATTACCATTTAAATTGTTGGGAAGAAATACTGGGCCTATTAGATTGTTATCCACAATTCCTGCCCAAACATTAACTTTGAAAGTCCTTTGGTGGTGAGTCGTATTTTTTTGACGTGAGGATTTTCGTCGACCCAAATGTGCTCGTTATGATGGTTTGTTATTCCATTTCTACTGTAGGTAGCCTCGTCGATAAACAAAATATTTCTAATAAAATTAACATTTCGAATGTTTTCCATTAACAACCAATCGCAAAATCCAATCCTTTTAGGATAATCTTCAACCAATAACTCCTTGAACTGTTGTTAAGTGATAGGGTTTAAGCATCTGATCCTTCAAACGCCTCCAAACCCTTACGTGAGGAACATTTAGTTGAGCAGCTATGACCCTTGTACTTGTATATATACCAGGGACTTCTTCAATGATTTCTAAAATGTCTTCATCAGTTGCATCCATTATTGGACGACCAATATTGCCAGCAACTTGCGGTTGGAATGTATCCGTTTCCCGTGAACGACGAACAATGTTCAGAAATCATCATCTATCGGGTGTATTTCGATTGGGGTATTTTAATGCATAACGCCTTGCGGCTGCTGCACTATTTCCTTGACATTCACCTACGATATTCCCGATAATTTATTGCAATCATAATTTAATCAGATCCAACTTAACCAAAGTTAAATGCACATCTGCCATTTCCTGAAATATGTAGGCCATTGTAATATCAAAATGTTTGATATCAATCTTATTCACACAATAAATGATAGCTTCAAATTATTGACTATTATTGATGGAACTGTTTGTAATTATTATGCCCGTAGAAACTAATGAAGATAACTTAAGATGGAACACTCGATGCTGCTATAAAAGACAGAAACATACAGGGTAGAAAAGCCATATCCATGATGAACAGCATTCTGTTTTGGCCAATGAAACAAAGAACAGAGAAACTGTTACTAGCAACAGAAATAGACTTCTGGAGAAGAGCAGCAGGCAAATCAAGAAGAGATCGGATACCAAATGAGAGAATACGAGAAATGATGGAAGTCAAGCATAAATAGTTGATTACATAAAAACAAAACAGTTAATATGGTACGGCCATGTACAGAGAATGCCAGATGACAGGATTCCAAAACAGATTTTGACGTGGACACCACAAGGGAGAAGGAAAAGAGGAAGACCAAGAAGAAGCTGGAGAGAGGGAATTGAAAAAGAAGTAGGGAAAAGAGAAATCCCTCCAGGCCTATGGTTGAATAGAGAAGAATGGCGGTTAGGAGTCGGAAGGCGTCGGAGAACGCTGTAAACCGATAGTAGTAGTAGTAGTAGAAACTAATAGTAATTTTATGGCCAACTAGGAAAAAACTAATTTTTCGAAAAAGTGATGAGGCCAAAAAAGTTTTAAAAATTTTGTGTTAAACTAATGATGCCACAAAATTCATTTGATTTGAACATACTCAAAAGTTTGGGGTGATTTAGGGCTGCACCCCCTTAAAATTTTTCTGTGCGCTTAGATTTTGTTGTTTCTTTTGTGTAAAAAAATGCTTTCGGAACAAGAAAGTAACGTGTCCATTTTTATTACAAAATGTCAATTGTTCTGTGCGCTTAGATTTTGTTGTTTCTTTTGTACAAAAAATGCTTTCAGAACAAGAAAGTAACGTGTCCATTTTTATTACAAAATGTCAAGTAGTTTGGGAGATAATGCAACAAAACAATCTTTATTTTGTAACTTTTTGTGTATACTTTTGTACTAAGGTAAGTTGGACTCAATCAGTTTATTTTTGTCCTCGGAATGCGTGATTTAATTTAATGACATACATTTTTGAAACACCCTGTATAAACAGCTCATTAAGCCTAAAAAATTCGTCGATAAAAATTTACCGACAAAATCTCATCGAGGAAAACTTTATTAACTAGAAAATCTGTCTTATTTAAAATTCATTTATAAACTTACAATTCGTGGGAAAGCACACAAAAGTTAAAAATATTTTTATTACGAACAAGATAATATTATTGAAAAAGCAGAAAATAAACCAATTTCACATTGTAGTGCACATTTTTTTGAAAATTCGATAAAATTAGTGAATTTTGATAACAATTCGGTAAATGTTTATGGATAAACTTTCGTGAAATAATAAAATATCTTATTTAAAAATTTGTTTTTTGTTTAGTTACGAAAATTAGTACCCAACAACAGGTAACGAAAAAGCCTCTATCGCCATTCGCTAAATTTCAACAATTGGACAAACAAAACAGTATCAATACTCCAACTCCACCAGGGTAAGTTTGTTAATTAAAATTAATATTATAAAGTGTGTTCAAAATATATACGTGTGTGTTGAATGATAACAACTATTATGTTGAATAATAAAATTATTCTAACATGTGATCCTGAAAATTGTAATAAATCGGTTAAATAAGTTTTGAAACGGTAAAATCGCTTTGTTCACAGTTTCATGTTCCAAAAATAGTTATTGTATCTCAAAACTAACCGTTAACTGCGGATCAGGCCACAAGCTACATAGTGAAAAACTAACAAGAAAACCATAAACATTAATGTCGAAATAAACTAGAGTAGCTTTAACATATACATAGTAGTGAACCAGTAGATAGTGAAAATCCAGAAGAGAATTGCAAAGATGAAAAGAAGGATTACTATCATTATCATCGTCATATGTCAATCTCTTGCATCCACTGTTAGCCTTCTTCTCCATCCTCTTCCACTATGAGCTTTCTGTTTCCAATTTCCTGCTGTTTTCGTAAGATGTAAAACCATCTTGTTTGTCCATTTGGCTTGTGTAATCTTTTCTATGACATCTGTTGCTTTCGTCATTTCTCTTACCATCCTGTTTGGTATCGTAAATATTCTTGTTACTCCTAATTAACTGGCAAATGTTTTAGTCAATGTTAATGACTCGGGACTGTATGTTATTACTGACAGTACACATTGGTTGTAAACTTTTCTGTAAAGTAGCGTTTCTTTTAAAGTATGGCGCCTCTTACCAAATGCTGCCCATCTCAAATATATTATACTGCGAATCTCACAGGTTTGATTATCGTTTCCTATTTTAATTCCATGTCCCAAGTAAATATAGCTATAAACCTGATGTACTTTCTTGACACCTATTCTTTTAATACCACTTGGAACTAAATTCCTGGTCATGTATTTTATTGTTTGAAAGTTTATCTTCAGCCTTATTTATTCTATTGCGTATTAGTTACTCCATCATTTTGTAAGCTTCATGTAAACTCTCGGTTGTATAACACTCAATAGCAAAAGTATTTATCATCAGAATGTATTCCTTTTTAGCCCAATCTAAAGTTAAAAGCTAGAAGAAGACAGTGGATGCGTTTAAAGTTGGGATTAAAGATTGAGATTCCAATAGAAAATATACGATATGCCGACGATACAGCAATTATAGCACTAACCTTGGAGGATCTGCAGCGCATGTTAGATAAGGTTGATGCCACTGGTAAATGTTTTGGGCTTAAGATCAACGCTACTAGTACTAAGACCAAATTTTTGGCATATCATATTCCGAACAGCCAAAATTGGCACTCTACAAATGATTTGAAGAGTACAGACAACCGCCAACGTGCTACCAAGCACATGGCACGCGAAGAAGAAGAAGCCCAATCTAGTTCTTTAAATACATATTCCAAAGCTGCTGTGAATAGTTGAGAGAAGATGGTGTCGCCTTGTCTAATTCCTCGCCCAATCGTAAATTTATCCGTAAAGTCATGGAGTTTAACAGATGCCTTTGTCTACGTGACTTTCTTTTATTGCTTTCAATAATGCCGGCAATTCCGCGATATCAGAAGCTTTCTTGAAGTTGACAAATAAAAACGTGAGTGGTTTATTATACTTATCACACTTATCAATCAAAGTTTTTAGTACTTGTAGGTGGTCATTTGTTCCAAAGCCTCTCCTAAACCAAGCTTACTCTTCAGACTGATAAGAAATTAATCTTCATTCTAAATGTTTTGTGATGATTTTGGTCAACCATTTTTAAATATGGGCAACAAACTTATTGGCCTATAATTCTTTAGATCTGTTATTTCGCCTTTTTTGTTTATTAGAATCTCTCTCTATAGTCCTGAGCCACTGTAATGGTCATCCTTGTGTCGTGTATTATCAATCTCCAAAGATCTGTCTCTGGTCATTTCTTTTAAAGCATGCATAGGTTTTTAAAGTTCATTTAAAATTAAATTGTTTGTCCTGTGGTCGGTCCACGGAACTCGTAACGTTCTTCTACAACAGAACATTTCAGTGGCGTCTACTGTTCTTCTTTTCGCTTGTCCGTAAGGTCAAGATTCACATCCATATGTCAGTATTAGGAATATTAATCATTTAATCAATCTCATTTTTGTTAGAGTTCGTTGAAATTTGAGAGTCCTTCCATACTATGGCCATCTTATTTACGGCAACTATTTCTAGATCACATCTACGTTTTATTGATTCCTGTAGTATAGTGTCCTGTGTTTGTGATGAATAATCTCAGATATAAGTATGAGCTCACAACCTCAAACCGGTCAATTGTGGTTATATATGGATGACTGTTATGTAGTCTATCCACTACCATGATCTTTGTCTTTGATATATTTAAATGCAGACCAAATATTTTACTTTTTGAAGTTTTTAACCAGTCATATGAGATCAATTATTTACTATACCTACTTTGGTTTAGACATAGGTTAAATAGTTACCACTTTCAACCATTTCTCGCCTCCTACTTTAATAACAGCTATTGGTTGGTCTACCTAACTAGTTGGTCATCTCCAGAAGCCTTGTTGTTTTCATTTCCTTTAGGGTTTGTTTCCACTTCCTCTATCATTATGATAGGCAGAAGTTCGGATCCTTGATTTAATACTTTGCGTTCTCTAATATGTGATTTGTTCCCTTCTATTAACTGGCTTTTACATAGGTCTTCATAGCTAGCAACTTTTTAGTACCTCTAGTATTCATTCTTTGTTTGTGGTTTTATTACCTTCTTTGTCTTTCAGTTTCATCAAAACTTTCTTCTGAGTATATTCGTATTTCAATTTTCCTCAACCACCTTTTGTATTTTCTGATCAATTTTTCCCTCTGATCTTACGAATTGCTTTTGAAATCTCTGTGCTCTTAAGTTTATCTGAATCGCCTTTCTGCTTCCCTCTGTTGGTTTTGCTTTCTTCAATTAGCTTTTTGGTTTTTTTTTATTCAGTAGCTCTTCACTGCAGTTATTAGCGCTTCTGAGATTGCATTATTTACGGATTCAATGTACGTCGAAAGCGGGTGATTTAGATCCCGATTTACAGATTCCACAAAATCATTTGTATTTTTGGATTTACTCCATTTTATCAATTCTCCTCTCTATTATCTTATTATCTTATTCTAATTAATTTACTATAAGATCTTTCTACAGCATCTCAAAAAGTATTTATTATTTGCTCTATTATTTCTTCCAGGTCTACGCTCTATAGGTTCTGAAGGCTATTCTTCATATATTTTGTATATTAAAAAGGGTTTTATGGAGGTATCTTCTTCGTTAGCTTGTTCCTTGTTAAGTTTGGTTCTCCCCCTCTTGACACTTATGACTAATAATTTTTCTCTCATCGTTCGATGGTCACAAGGTATTTATAAGTAAAGATTATGTAGTAGTGTGAACTGCAGCAGCCATGTGCCTTTTTCGGTGCTTATTCCATGGCAATATATTGGTAATTCTTCTTGATTTTCTTTTTCTTCTATTTCCTCGTTGAAATCATTAATTATTACTAGATTTTTGTAGAATGTCCACTTCTTTATCGCTATGTAAACTTCTAGGAGGGTGGCCCCGAATTATTTTAAGGCTTTATCTCTTGTTCTATCTTATAATGGCACTAGCTAGAGTAGATGCCCTATTTTATATTTTGTTTTTATAATTTCTTTTTCTTTCTACATTCTTCTCTACTGTTTGAGTTGTCTTCGTTGCTCCATCAATTCGAGGATTTCGTCAGTCATCCATTGTTGTTTTTTGACTCGTTTTAGTATATTTGTTTTTAATTTTTGAAATAGTATTTTTAAACATATTGCAGATTCTACGCCATTATTTTCTATTATTATGCTCAATTGGTTATTTAGGTATTTTTCTATTTGGTTCATGTTGACTTCTGAGATAATTATTTTTGGTATTTTGGAATATTTTTGAACTAGTTTTAAGATTGACTATGTCAGCCATTAGAAGGTTGTGTTCTAAATTAATATCTGCTTCAGGATATGCTGATATTCTTTTTTGACACCATCTTTGAATCATCTGTTTACTAGAATATAATCAATCTTATTTTTGATTATGTAAACTGGATTATCCCTTGGTACTTTTCATGTATATAGTCTTATGTTTAATCGTATCTTGGTTTCCAAACGTTATTATCAGTATTATTTTTTCGTTGCTGTGCTCCTTGTTAATTTTACTAGGGAAATTTGTGATTTCCGGTTGTCTTCCCCAATGATTTTTCTTTCGTTTTAGGATAGTTCTGAGGGTGGACTATTTGAAAGGATTTAAGTTTTTAGTAGGAAGCTTGGGTTAGGACATGACATCTTCCCCTTAAAAGGATTGGGAGATAGTCATGGCTTGCGTGGGCAGGGTCGCATCCCTGAAGTAGATCTGTCTTATACCGGGATCGTATAAGATTATCTACCCGCTACCCGTGTCAGCTTCTATATAAAAATATACGTTACTTGTCCTTTGTCTTTTCTTCTTACCTCAATAATATTTTCTTTATCTTCTTCTTTTTATATAGACATGTCTCTGTCTGTTTTTCAATGTGCTTCCAGTAAGTTGTCATTCCATCGTTTTCGTGGTCTTCCTACTGATCGTCTTCCTATTGGGGAACCGTCTACTCTCGTCTTTACTACTCTATTTGTTTTCATTCGGCTTTATATGATCGTTCCATTCTACTCTTCTATTTCTTAACCAGTGTTTGATGTTCTCCACATTAAATCTATGCCGTATATCAGTACTTCTAGCTCTGTCCCATAGTGTCTTACCATCAATTTTTCTAAGTGTTAATATCAGTGTCTCAATAATATCAATGCCATTATATTTTATCTGCTGAAATTATTGTTGCAATTCTATGATTTTTCCTTCGATGACATAGTCCTGGAACAATATGTTTATATATGAAATGGATGTCATATTTCGTCGCCTGATTCAGTTCGCGGAATTTTAGCACTCTTCGTTCTTCACGTCTCATCCGATTCCTACCAAAATAATAAGGGGCTTCGGAACTGGTAAAGATCTAGAGCCTTAATTTGCTATCTT